TTCAGGTCCTTCTTATTTATCCCTTTTGCTTCCTTTTTTCTCCTCCTTGCCTCCTTCTCCCTCCCATCACCCTCACTGTAGTGCCCTCCTTCATCCCATTTGGCCTTAAAATGTCCACAGAAGAATTGTCTTTATTTTTAATATAAATTTATTTATTTATTTATTTTTGGCTGCGTTGGGTCTCCGCCGCTGCGCACAGGCTTTTCTCTAGTTGTGTCGAGCGGGGGCTACTCTTTGTTGTGGTGTGCGGGCTTCTCATTGCAGTGGCTTCACTTGTTGCGGAGCACGGGCTCTAGGCACGGGGATTCAGTAGTTGTGGCTCGTGGGCTCTAGAGTGCAGGCTCAGTAGTTGTGGCGCACGGGCTTAGTTGTTCTGCGGCGTGTGGGATCTTCCTGGACCAGGGCTCGAACCTGTGTCCCCTGCCTTGGCAGGTGGATTCTTAACCACTCAGCCACCAGGGAAGTCCCCACAAAAGAATTTTTGATTTCTGTGGCCCCTGTGAACTTGCTCCCCCATTCATTCCCATCTTGATGAACAGAACCATTATCTGGCCAGTTTCTCAGGCTAAAATCCAAGAAATCATCCTTGATTCTTCTCTTTCCCATAGTGCCTACATTTGATCCTTCAGCCTGTCTTATAGGTGGTTCCTCCAATACGTATCCTGTATCTGACCATTTCTTACCACCTGCTCTGCTACCACCCTTCTCCTGGCCACCATCATGTCTTGCCTGGATGACTGCAAAGGTCTCCTAACTTTGGCCCCCTAGGACCCCTTCTCTGTATGTCAAAGTCATACTTGTAAAACATAAATCAAATCATATCACTCCTCTGCTCAAAACACTCCACTGGCTTCCAAATTGTCTACCATCCGGTTCTTACCTCCCTCTTCAACCTCCAATGACTATGCTACAACTCAGGGGTTCCTTTCTGTCACTCACACATACTAAGCTTATTCTTTGCATGCCTGATCCTGCCTTGTCCCAGTTCAGATGTTACCTCCTCAGAGAGACCTTTTCTGAGCCACCTATGTAAATTAATTCTGTCCCTACTGACTCTTTAGTAGATCACTCGTGTGTGTGTTATTTCTGAAATTATCCCATTTCTTTATTTACACATGTATTGTTGGTCCATGTGTCAGTCTTGCCCACTGTTCTCCAGTGACAAGAATATTACTTGGCACATTGTAAGTGCCCGTCAATTTTTTTTTAATGATAAATGAATGTACTTGCTCCAAGATTACTTCTTCTCCCCCCCACCTTACTCCATCAAAATGCCCTCCCTCTTCTTCAGAGCATGGATATCATTTGAAAGTTGATAGAGAGGCCTCCACAAATAATCGCTGAATGGATGAAGCTAAAATGAATTACGGGGCTTCCCTGGTGGTGCAGTGGTTAAGAATCTGCCTGCCAATGCAGGGGACACGCGTTTGAGCCCTGGTCCGGGAAGATCCCACATGCTGCAGAGCAGCTAAGCCCGTGCGCCACAACTACTGAGCCTGCGCTCTAGAGCCTGTGAGCCATAACTACTGAGCCCATGTGCCACAACTACTGAACCCACGTGCCACAACTACTAAAGCCCGCGTGCCTAGAGCCCGTGCTCCACAACAAGAGAAGCCACCGCAAGGAGAAGCCCACGCACCTGAACAAAGAATAGCCCCCACTCACCGCAACTAGAGAAAGCCCACACGCAGCTACAAAGACCCAATGCAGCCAAAAATAATGAATAAATAAAATAAATAAATTTATTAAAAAAATAAAACGAATTACGTCAACTAAGAATGCCAGCCTCTTAATGTATAGCTATTCCCAGGAGTATTAGCATTCTCAAACAGGAAGATTGAATTTTCAGGCATCGTTGACAAAGGGAAAAATTTCAGGCCAGCCGAGTTGAAGTGATATGTTTGGACTGAGTTTCTGTTCCTTGTCTTCTTAAATCCACATATATTTGTTAAGACCCTTTAGGGCTCCTTTGAAACCAAAGCTGCCGTTAAAATGTAAAACAATAATTGAAAAGCATTGCTTGTTTCTAAGAAAAGTATTGTGGATTGAGAATCAGAGGCCTGGGTTTCAATCCTGGATGTGCCACTAATTAGCTTCTTGAACAGGTTGCTGATGATAACTATCATTTACTGAGCGTCTAACATGTGGCTGACCCTGAGCTAGGCACTTGGCTCACATATATCATTTCTGCAACTCTTCCAGGTGGATATTTTTAGTATGTCTATTTTATAGATAGGGAGGAAGGTTCAGAGAAGTCAGGTATCATTCATGAGGCCACATGCTAGTAAACAGTGAAGCCTAGACTCTGACTCAAGTTTGTGTCAGTCTGTATTCCTGTTCCTTCCCCAGCACCCTGATAAGGCATCTTGGGGCAGGAGAAGAAACTCTAAGGAGTTGCTCTCTAAGATCTTTTTCATGTAATTTCTTCATTATATGTTTTCTGGATTTGAGAAGAGAACACAAGTGTGGCCCTGAGAACTCATTTGAGAATGTAGCTTAGTGGTTAGAGTACAGCCTTGGATATCAGACTTCCCGAGTTAACAGCCTGACTTTACCGCTCACCTTAAGCATCTACGTCATGCGTGGAGTCAGAGCACCTACCTCCTGGCCCAGTGGGCCCTACTTAGTGAGTACTCCATGAATGTTAAATATTTATTAACCTAATAATGATTACTATGTACGTCATAAAAGGAAGTCTCTCAAAGGATACTGAAAGGAAAGCTCACAGAGAAGAGGTAGATGTTTCTCAGTACTCACAAGGGCCCGATCTCTTCTGTTGGCCAATCTTGAGAAGTGGCTGCTGGTTCAGAGGCTCCCAGAGTCACTGTATCAGCCAAGTAGATGCCCAGGGGAGTTCCAGTGAAGCCAAGGAGAGCTTTTATCAGCAGCAGGGGCAGGAGGAGAGAGCAGCTGAAAAGCAGGAAGCCCAGAACCCACAGGAAACATTAGCTGGAGAAACAGTGTGCTCGGAAAAGCCCAGCCCTGAGTGAGGACTGGAGGCTTGAAGCTTAGAGGCAGGAAAGGGAGCCCCACGAAGAGTTCAAAGTAACTCATTGCTCCAGAGTTATTTCTGTACCATTTTCTCTGACTACCGAAGTAATACATTGGTACTTTACAGAGATTTATATAATGCAAACAGCAAAAGAGTCCCCTACCAAAGTTTTTAGGAATCTTTTTATTGAAGTTTAATACCTGTAGAAAAATGCACAAATCATACTCAATGAATTTTCTCAAAGTGAGGTGCACATGGGAAGCCAGTACCTAAATCTTAGAATATAACATTATCAGAACACCAGAAGTTCCCTTATCTTCCCCCTTCCAGTCATTATCAATCCCAATAGTAACCCCTTTCCTAATTTCTTTCCCCATAGATGAGTTTTGCCTGTTTTAAAATTTTAAATAAATGGGATCACACGGAAGGTATCCTTTTGTGTCTGGCCTGTTTGACTCAGCAGTATGTCGTGAGATTCATCCATATTGCTATTTAATATTTCATTGTATAGATATACAACAATGTATTTATTCATTTCATCATCAAATACTGATGAGTATTGGGGTAGTTTCCAGTTTTCACTTATTGCAAATAATGCTAAGATCACTCTTGTACATATCTTTTGGTGAGCATATGTTCTCATTTCTCTTGTGTATATCACTGGAAGTGGAATTGCTGGGTTATAGGCTATGCATATGTTCAGCTTTGGACAGTCAAAGTACATGTAAGATCTCTCTGTGGGCTCCCGGAGAAACTTCACAATGTCACAACTCTCAAAGAGAAGAGGATGCAGAGGGGGCACCCGGTAGCACTTGTCTAACGGCCTCCCAGTGGAAGTCTCTGCTTCCACTCTATCCAGGACAACATGACCTGTCTCGAATTCCATTCATCCTGTCATCCCCATCCATCCTCCCCAGCAAATGCCCTTCTTTAAACCCAATCACACTTCCAGGGCAGCACTGCATCACATACCTGTCCACTTGCTGGCCTTGGATTGGATTTTAGTCATTTCTTGTATTCTTTCATCCACATAACAAATATTGTGTGCCTACAACTCAATTGCACTCTTTTACAATCTGGGATTGGAGCAATGTACACACCCCTATCTTCATGGAGCTAGCATTCTAGTAGGAAGAGATAGACAAAAACAAATAAGAATATGTTAGTGGTGATGAGGGCAATGAAGAAAAATAAAGCCGAATAATGAGAGTAAGAGGAGTGGGGTGGGAGAAGAATGTGCTATCGTATAATAGGGTAGTCAGAGAAGGCCTGCAAGATCTGGATTATGTTTTAAATGATCACTGGCTATTATGTTGGAAATAGGCTATATGGGAGTAAGGTGGAAGAAAGGAGACAGGAGGCCACCACAAGAGTCTAGGTAAGAGGGAATTCTCTGATGGTCCTGTGGTTAGGACTCTGCGTTTTCACAGCTAAGGGCGCAGTTTCAGTCCCTGGCTGATGGTGAATTGGACTGGGATGATGATAGTGACAGTGATGAGAAGTGGCTGCATTCAGCATATATCCAAAAGGTAGGTCTGACAAGATTTGCTGATAGATGATAGATGGAATGTGGAGCGTGAGAGGGGAGTCAAAGGTGACTTGTTTCCTCCAGGAGCAATGCCTGCTTGCACAGACAGCATAGGCCCTGATGCCAGGGTCTGCCCACTGAATGGGCAGATGTCTTTCCCGGTTACAGCCAGCCCAACTTCCTATGTGAAAGATCTATTCTCTACTGTCTCAGAGATGGTATGATATAAGTACTAAGACAAGTGATTAGAATCAGATTACCAGTTGCAGCTCTCTCACTTACCAACTGTGTATCCTCGGGCAAGTTACCTAACCTATCCAAGCCTCAGTTTCCAATTCTGGAAAAATGGGACAATAGTACCTCCTACATAGGGTTGTTGGGGATACTGAGATCGTATATATAAATAGGCCTGGGCTATTTATGGGCTTAGAAAATACCTACGTTAAACTAGCTCCCAGTTAAAACAATCAGACAGAAGGCTATGGAGTAAGGGTTATCTTTATTTGAATTGCAAAGTATAAATATAAACCAGGTTTGGAAATTCAGGTTTGTAACAGTTCAGTAATGGCACCAGAAACTTCCAGAAGGGACCACGACAGCATACCTTTGTAGTTTTGGTGAGGTGGGTGGGTTTACACAAAAGCCCTCCTCACCTCCAACCTTCTCTGTAGCAATTGGTAGGTTATCAATTACTAAGAACAGTCAGCTCCAATGTTTCCTGTTCCTCCTCAGCCTTTTTCTTTGCTAATACCTTTTGCTGATTATCCTCTGCTGCATTGACCCCTGCATGGAGTAGCACCAGAAGAATGGCAGGATAAGAGAAATGTCTTGACACAAGGGACAGTGAGTTCCCACTCTGTGGACCTGGACCCATGCAGGGTGAGGTGCCAGGAAAGCTTCAGGCATGGAAGCCCAACTTCGTCTGAGACTGGGTAGGGAGAGGACACAGGGGAATACCGATATCTGTTACATCTTGACATCAGCACCTTGGGCTTTCAAAACACAAACGGTAGACACAATCGCCTAGGTAAGACTGCCGTCCAACTCATAGAGTGGATCTGACAAAGTTAATTCCTACAGCCTGACCATACAGAACTCCCCCTGTGGCACTCAGATCATGGAAGATCTTCCGAAATGTGGACAGACAATAGATTACTACAGATGGATCACAGAGCCATCTCACATTTGTAGCAGAGGAGACTAATGCTGAGCCAGATGGTGGGGGATGCAGGGTGGAGGGCCAGGAAATCGCCAAAGTAACAGTCTAGGCACTTGAAATATTATTGTTAGATTGTTAAAAACTAAATAAATTAACATACATAGAATAAAATAAATATATAATTTAAGAGGCATTTTACAAACAAACAAACAAACAAACAAAAATAGTTGTTATTTTTCCATCTGGGTAGAAGTCCCAAAATTCAGAGTTCTCAGGTTTATGGTATTTCACAGTTAACTCATCAAATCCAGCACTGAAGGGTCCAAATGGCAGATCCCTTGGTGGCTTGTTGAGTACATGGCTTCTCAATCTTTGTTACTTTCTTCCAGTCCCCGAATCTTTCTTTCTTCCTCTCCTTCCTTTTTTTTTCAGGCAAAGATCCTGGAGCATATGGAATTTAACTGGCATTTTAATCCAGAAGATAAGCGTTTAAACAAACTTATGGGGGTAAGTAGGGCTTGGTGGAGGAGAATCAGAAGGGCACGAAGGTCCCTCACTTTTGCTTTCTTCTGACCCAGATCCCACTGGACATATTCTGTTTGGCACTTGAAGGCTCTGGTATTTTGGCAAAGCAGTTATGGGAGGCCCAATTTAGATGGCAACTGGGGATGAAGGAATCTTCATAGCTAGTTGTGAAGTCCTTCCCCTCTGCAGAGTCTGTCATCAACTTGTATCTTCTCAGAGGTAGCAGTCCCCAGCTGATTCCTAAAGCACAAGAAGAAGGCATTTAAAGCTGGATCCAGCTTAAGAGGTCTTAAGAGTCTCCTGAGTCCAGATTTAAGAAGTGGAAAGAGGGCTTCCCTGGTGGCGCAGTGGTTGAGAGTCCGCCTGCCGATGCAGGGGACACGGGTTCGTGCCCCGGTCCGGGAGGATCCCGCATGCCGTGGAGCGGCTGGGCCCGTGAGCCATGGCCGCTGAGGCTGCGCGTCTGGAGCCTGTGCTCTGCAACAGGAGGGGCCGCAACGGTGAGAGGCCCGCGTACCACAAAAAAAAAAAAAAAAAAAAAAAGAAGTGGAAAGATCTCTGGGAAGGGGTGGGAAGGAGAAGAGACAAGGATGAGAGAAGCTATCTTCTCAGGCATTGGTCTTGGGTATCTCTCTAGCAACTTCCACCCTAAGTGGAGATGCAGCACTGAGAACCTTTTTGAAAACAATTCTGCAGTGGGACCCTGACTCCATAGCAGCCCAACCCCTAGCTCCTAGGTCAAGAGAAGAATTCAGCATGCCTAGAAACAGATCCAGGAAAGGTGGTGATGGTACCATTGGGCAAAGGATGGACCATTACCTTGAGCACAGGTTTCTCTCAGTGGGACGTAGTCATGCCCAATTTCACTTTCTCTTCATTTTCCACGTCATAACCTCCTCTCCTGTGGTACCTGAGGAAAGTAAGTTTTGTGAGCAAGCTCTGCCTGCTAGAGGGTGCAGGCCCCAGAGCTGGTCCTTCCAAAAGATTCTGGCCCAGTGATTCTCTCCATACTTGGAAAAGCCCAGAGGATACGGCAGCTCAACAGACCTCTGGCCAAAGGTCCAGCTGCCCCAAAGGATGCCTGTCTCTAATGGCAGGCTACAATTTGCTAAGAACTTTCACCTCATTTATACAATCCTCACAACATCTTTATGAGGTAGTGGAACAGAGATTACAATCACTGAAAGATTACAACCCTTAGAAAGACAGGTAACTTGATCCAGGTCTCACAACGCATGAGTTGCATGCTTGTAAATGGGCACAGAGTGCTTAGTAGGTCTCCTCAGTCTAGAATATAAGCTGGATTGAAAGCATGGCCTGGGGACCAGATGCCCCAGATTTGGAAGGATATACCAATAGCACCACCCATGCCCTGACTACCAAACCACACCCTAATGCCATCAGAGAACAGAGTCAGGAAAAAGAATTGTGTGAAGATGTGGCTCCATGGGTGGGTTGCTGAGCCTGCTGTGAGAAGCAGGACCTCCTACGGCCTGGCAATTTTTTTCCTGGGCTCTAGACACTGGACCTATGTCATACCAGAGAAGCCAGGTTCTTGGAGAGCCTGTACCCAGGAGTGTTAGTCAGACTCCTAGCCCAGGATTTGGGGGGTTAGAGGGCTCATGTGACCATCAGGTAGAAGACCCTGGAGGAGGAGGAATAGAAGTGATTTGCAAAAACAGCCTGTAACACTCACCAAAACATGAGAAGCCCCACGATGACCAGCAGACAGACGGATGACAGCACCACGACCACCACAACCAGGATGGTCGTGTGATCATAGGTATATAAACGATTTTTCACTGGGAGGCTCAGCCCATGGCACCTCTCTCCATGGTAACCCAGGTGGCAGCTGGTCCAAAACAGAACAAAGCAGAGATGAAGTTAGTGGTTTGGCTTCACTCTTGGCAACGGGCCACCTACATAAGCCAGAGCCTACTCCTCACAGCTTCAGCCTGTCAGTCCCTAACGGTGATTCCTGTCCTTCCTCTAGCCTTCTCTAGAAGCCCCTCTACAGGCTCTGTGGCCTTCCTCCTTCACTCCACGCCCTCCCCTTCTGCATTCCCTTTGGTCCTCTGGCACAAAACTCCTACTCCAGGCAGGGAAAAAGCAAAGGAGGACTTCAGGTCTTGGCTAGATTGTTCCACGTGTGGATGATTAATGACGTGTGTGTTAAAATGTTCAGAGGACTTGGGCACAAGAGCTGGTGGGTTGGACTGAGGGGATTCAGTATCACTCCCTCTTGTGAGGCCCCTCAACACTCTGACCCAGAAATAAACCCAGCCTTCCCCACCAATGCTTCCAGCGTCCAGTCCCTCTGCCACTGCCCAGCCTATTAATAGGCCCTGCTCCTTTGCCAGAAGTCATTTTTCTCAAGTTTCCTTCATTTAACTCCCAGCTCCCCCTGGGTGCAAGGCCCAACTTGAAAGCTGAATTTTGGCCTTTGGCCTCTGAACGCTGGGCTATCAGGCCTACTTCATCCCAGGACAAAGCAAACAAACCAAGAAAACATCTTCTTGCCTAGCTGTCCTGCCAGTACATTTTAGAATGTCACAAAAAAAACCTTGGCTTTTCTCACTCAAGAAATAAATCAGATGGCAACTGCCTCTTCTAACACAAAACTTTTCCTGGAAGCCCTTGGGAAGACTGACAAGTGCCTACAGTTGAACAAGCACATTCACGTCCCTTTCTTTTTTTGCGGGGGAGCTGCGCGGCTTGGCTTGTGGGATCTTAGTTCCCCGACCAGGGATTGAACCCAGGCCCTAAGCAGTGAAAGCGCGGTCCTAACCACTGGACTGCCAGGGAATTCCCTCACATCCCTTTCCTTATCTGAGCATCCCAGAGATCCTTTGATGTAGGTAGGAGCCCATGTTACAGAAAGGCTATTTTCCCCACAGTCACATAGCAGGGCAGAGACATAGACACAGATTGTCTGATGGTGAGCTCAGTGTGCTGCCCACACACATCCATAAATGCCCAGTCAGGAATGCCGTGGCACTGTCTGCCTGGGGACTTTAGGCCACTAACTGCTGAAGGAAGCACCGAGAACCCGGTGGCCCTCTATTCTGAACTGCACATCCTCTGGGGAAAAGCTTAGGCACCTCGTTCCTCAGAGCAAGGAATCCCTTCTTCCTGCCGAGAGGTACCAGGAAAGTTCCAAGGAGCAGACCTATCAGACCCAGGGGCCGGGCTGCCCCTGCCTTCCTTCCCAGCACCTCTTCCTTTCCCAGCTCCTTCTGGGTGTTTCGGGGAACCACCTCACTGCAGGATAAACGTAGGTCAGGCCCACAGCAGAGCACACAGCTCCTTGCCCAGCCTCTCCATGCATCTGTCCCATCGGCCCAGGTGGACAAAACAATGACCCCTATCCTGCCAGGACATAGAGGATGCTCTTAGGAGCACCCCTGGAAAATCACTTGTTCAAAGCACTTTACAGTTTATAAGACACTGTCCTTATCGACTAGCTTAACTGAGACTCATAACACCCTGGTAGGCAGGTATAACCTCTTTTACATATTGAAAGACTACGATTAGGGTCAGAGAGTAAATGATTTGCTAAATGTTTCACAACTAGGGAGCAGAAGGGCCAAATTCCAAATTCATAATTATTTCCATTCTGAACAGTGTAGGTTACCCCAAGGAAACACATATCTGATGGGCTTGATGGGTTTCTGGAGCAGAAACAGAGAGCGGTCTGACTCTGCTCTCTCAGTTATTATTACTGTTATCTTGAATGATAAATAACAATTAATAGCACACATTACAGGCTTACCATGAGCCAAGTACTCTGTGCTAATTGCTTTACAAGGATCATTTCATGTAATCTTAAAAACATCTCTATGGGCTTCCCTGGTGGCGCAGTGGTTGAGAGTCCGCCTGCCGATGCAGGGGACATGGGTTCGTGCCCTGGTCTGGGAAGATCCCACATGCCGCAGAGCGGCTGGGCCCGTGGGCCGTGGCCGCTGAGCCTGCGCGTCCGGAGCCTGTGTTCCGCAACAGGGAAGGCCACAACAGTGAGAGGCCCGCGTACCGCAAAAAAACAAAAAAAAAACAAACATCTCTAAGAAGTAGGAGTTACTATCCCCATTTTAAAGATGAAGAGACTGAGGCCAAACTTCTGTTAGATAACCTGCCCAAGATTACACAGGTAGTGAGTGGTAGAGCCAGGATTTGACTCAGCAGTCTGGCTGACTTCAGAGACTGTGCTTTCCTGCGGGGAGGGAAGGTGAAGTTGAGTCTGTTTTTCACTTCCAGCCCATCATTCAAACCCCACAGGTACTTACTCAGATGATAGAAATAAAGCTTGGCCTCAGAGTCCCGCAATTCAGTTACATAATCCCTCCACCCCCACCCTGAGTCAAAAGGATAATAATGTAAACATCCTAATATTACCCACGTCCCCCTCCCTTTGCAGACAACCCCTGGCTCCCCCAGGGAAGGAGCATTCCAAGCATCCCAGGGTGAGGGCAAGATCATGTGTCTTGCCCAGAGCCAGTGACCCATCAAACTGAGATGTGTTGCTCCTACCCACGTCTGTGGCCCATCTCAGAACTTGTATTACAACAGAAGCAAGGACCCTCTAGAGTACAGAGACATCTTCCAATTTGGATTTCTCCACCCCTACCCCAGGAGGTAGAGGGGGCACCATTTGGTGCAGGGGACTCAGAATACATGAGTTCCAGACTGGTCCTGCTGCTATTTCTAGCCAAGTGATCTGGAGCAAGTTACGGTCGCGTTTCCAAGCTTCAGTTTTCTCATGTAAAAGGCAGGAATAATAAATGCCTACCTCACTAGAGCTTTGCGAAGCTCAAATGAGATAATACAAATAAAAGCACTTAATAAAAGGCCAAGTCCCACATGTGTGGGAGTTACTATATAATCAGATTCCGGAGGATACTGCCCATATCCTGAGGAAGGGAGCACCAAAGTCAGACGGAGCCCAAGAGAAGGGGGCTCGCCATTCCTTCTTGGCGTCTGGGCAGTGAGGTCAAGTAGAGCCTTCAGGCCTGTCTCTCTTCCAGCTCTGAGTCCTCGTCAGGCTAACTGTCCCCAGGCTTCCTCCAGCCACAGGAAACTTTGCAGCCAGTTTCTGGGTCAGCAGCTCATCAGGAGCCCCAGGAAACTGCTCTTTGAGGGCAACTTTTGGCTGGTGACACAAAAGGGTTTTCCTGTGGGTGATGGCTGCAGAGGGCTGGTTTAGGAAGCCGGCCAGCCTCAAGCTCACCACGGCAGCCTGACACACCCGGCTGGTGGTTGCTGGGTCTGGAGGCAAGAAGGAGCCACAGAGTGTCCCAGATGTAGGTGCCCAGATGTCACATTCTCCCAATCCAGGAGCTCTGTGTCTTCTTGCTGCCTGCTGCCCTGAGTACCAAGGGCTGGAGGCAGGAGGCTGCCAAGCCAGACACAGAATTCAGCCCCTTGAAAATCTGCGTAGGAAGCAGACACAGAGTCTTTACATCAGATTCCATGCTCTTCAATTAGAAAAAGCCTTAGGAGACCTCTAGTATAATAGCTGCCGTCTGTAAAATCGTGCTCCAACTCTGTAAGAACAGACAGGGAAGAAGGACGCAATCCAACACCCAGTGCAGCCTGGGGGCATGAAAAGCATGTTGGACGGGAAGTCAGGCACCTGAGTGCCTGTCCTGTTTCCACACACTTTATTTAGCTGTTGATCTCAGACAAATCACTTCCTACTTCTGGGCTCCAGTTTCCTCATCTTTCAAGTACAGACAGCAAGCCCTGCCTACCCAGCAGAGGGCTTTTGAGAATACAGGGCTGTATTTTCCCGTCCCCTAGAATAGCTGACACCAAGTAGGTGCTCAACAGAGACCTGTTGGGCTCAACTCATATTAAATGTAAACTGTAAAGCTCCATGGCAAAGGAAGGAAGGCACTGTCACAGTTACCATCACCATCCCTAGGGCCACCTTGACCCTGGACACCATTATCTAGGTTCTCTGGGTTTAGGTGGTCAGTCAAGCTCAGCTCTCCAGGAGAGAAGCCTTAAAAGGGTTCTCAGCTGAGCAGTGGAAGTCCCTCCACCAACGCCCTGGACCAGTTCGGCCCAGACAGATTTCTGGCCTTGATCCATCTTGACTACGCTCAGAGTCACTGCCTCCACCCTGTGCTAATGAGGCCAGTTTACAAATTTAGGACAAACATTCCCTGCCCTGTCTCAAGACTTCTGGAAGAATAATTGGGGGACTGTCTAGGTCACTCTTTTTTTTTTAACATCTTTATTGGAGTGTAATTGCTTTACAATATTGTGTTAGTTTCTGCTGTATAACAAAGGGAATCAGCTATATGTACACATATATCCCCATACTTCCTCCCTCTTGCGTCTCCCTCCCACTGTCTAGGTCACTCTTAAGCAACCCTCTCCAATACCAAGCTCTTGACAAGGATATGAAAGGAGAGGACACACAAGTGACTGTAGACGTGGAGGGGGGTGACGGGTCTGTCTAACAATTGCCAAATACAGGGCAACTCTGCTGTATGAGATCAGATGGGACAAGGAAGCTTTAAAAAAAAAAAACAAAGGATCTGTACCAATCACAGCAGAAGAGATGCGAGGCAGCCAGCCTTCTCGACAGGCTGGGAAGTGGTGTGCACACAGCAATCTCCTGACTCTGTCCAGAGCCTCCCAGGTCACAGAGGTTGCCACTCCACAGAAACTCAGGCCCAGCAGAAGAGAGTGCATGTTTACAGCCTGATGTGGGTGTTGGTCTCAGGCACAGTGGCAACATTATGCCTGCCACAGAGCATGGCAGTGTCGTCATCCCTGAGGGGTTGCCAAGGCAGCCATTTGCTGGGCTTGGCCTAGCAGAGTGGCTGGGGAACCCATGGCCTCTCCACCCACACCCCTGCCCAGGGAAGGGGTGGTGCTGCCTGACCGGGGGCTGATGCCTACTGAGTTGGGTTCCATTTTCCGTTAATCTTACACAAAGGAAGTGTTCTCCCACCCCCATAGCCAAAGGTCAATACCCACCATGTCCCCCACCTCCTGGCCCTGGCCAGGGTGAGGAAGAAGGGAGGAGGGGCTTCTCCCTGCTCCCACAATGATTGCTTTCTCTACAGTCCTGCCATGTCTTAGAATCAACCCACATTTGCTCATTCATATGCACATATGTCTGAGTACACATACCTGCATAGCACATATCCAAATGCACCTCATACCTACCTGCAGGACTTGGGAAAGAAGGCCACGGGAGCTCCACTCCACCCAGGAGCCCCACTTTGCCATGTTTCCTACTGGCTTCTCCCATCTGGAGTAGGGCATGAGGCAGAAATGAAGAACCTGCCTTCAGGTGTCAGCTCTCCTAGCGTGTGCTCATTTCTGAGCAAGCAGGAAATGCCCCCAAAGATGAAAGAGCATCACAAACCCACGCCACAGGAAATTGCATCCTATGCTGGGGGGAGCCCCTTCCGCTGACTAAAAATATTTCCCCTCCTCCCAACTTCCTCCCAGAGGTTGAGAAGAAACTGGGTGGATTTATGAATTCAAGGAACAGTGACAACCAGGAACAGCCACCAGGCTGACAAAGAGTGAGCTGTTAACAGTCAGCCCCGGGGAAGGGACACTTACATGCAGGATGGAGCCCGGAGCTCCTTCACATATTTGCATTCTCCATGGATGCAGAAGTCCTTGTATTTCCGAAGACATGGGTCTCTCTTCTTCCCTAACCCCTTGCCTTTCTTCTTTCTTTTCCCACGCTCCTCCTTGCTCGGTGTGGCCAGAGCTTGTGGCTTGGAAGAGAAAGCAGCTGCGGTAGAAAAGTACCCTGTTACGTCTTTGACTTCCTCAGGGGAAAACATCAGAACAGCACAGTGTCTGGAAGGATGTTTTGATCCTACCTGAAGTCAGAGGCCTGAGAAGGCCTCTCGGCTCAGTGCCTCCCAAGAGCTGAAGGAAGACTGGGCAGACCTCCCAAAAGTGGTGGAGGAAGTAGAGGCTGGGGGGTCCCAAGGAAGACATTTCATAAACTCAGTTTAAGAACCTCATTCTATGGACTTGAGGACACGGGGAGGGGGAAGGGTAAGCTGGGACGAAGTGAGAGAGTGGCATGGACATATATACACTACCAAACGTAAAATAGATAGCTAGTGGGAAGCAGCCGCATAGCACAGGGAGATCAGCTCAGTGCTTTGTGACCACCTAGAGGGGTGGGATAGGGAGGGTGGGAGGGAGACGCAAGAGGGAGGGGACAAGGGGATGTATGTCTATGTGTAGCTGATTCACTTTGTTATACAGCAGAAACTAACACACCATTGTAAAGCAATTATACTCCAATAAAGATGTTAAAAAAAAAAAGACTACTGGGTCCAAGTGACACTTAAAAAAAAGGACCTCATTCTAAGAATGCTAGCTTCTGTTGAGTAGCTTCTGTTGAGTAACTGCAGCTGATTGGGCAGTTCTACTAACCTCACCCCCACCCCACTGTCCATCCTCATCTCCTACTCCCCCACGCCCACTTGGTTCTATTTTGGCCTTAAATCAGCCTCATTTCCTGATGCTACACTCAGTGACCCATTTGCAGGAAGACAGCGTCAGAGATAAAAATTGCTTCTGGAGAAGGTACTTGGAGAGTATTTTAGAGGGAAGAGGCTCCTAAAATAAGAACAGTGCCCATGTCCAGGTGGTCCCCTCTGGGGTACCCATTAGCAGCAGCGGACCATGATGAGCCCAGAGCAGAACCAGGCTCAGGGACAGCAAGCAGGCCACCCCTGGTCAGAGATTTGCTGTTTTAACTTTTTAAATTTTTTTAATTTTAAAAATATTTTTATTGATCTATAGTTGATTTACAATACTGTGCTAATTTCAAAGAGCCTTGCTTTTTTGACATCAAGCAAAATATTTACCCTGCTCTGTGTGCTATTTGCAGCTCACCACTTCTCTCAAAGGTCCATTTACATATATCCCCAGATGTCCTGTTTATAGCTCCCTAGAATGGGGAGTACAGTGCACAAGCAGCAGAAAGATGGAAAGTAAAGAACTATCAGAAGGAACTAGAACAATGATAACTCTCCCCATTCTTTCCACACTTAAAAAGGGAAAAACAACCTCACACAGACATCCAGCTGGGACTGATCATGGGCTATGCCCATCAGCCCAGGGGTCTGACACAAGTCTCCCCTCCCCTGTCCCAGCAGAAAAAAGGTGCCTGCTGTCTATGGCTATAGCCACATGTCTGGTAGAAGGATGAGCGTCATACATTAGACTGGAGTCCTAGGATCCTCAAGGTGAAACTGACTTCAAAAAATATGGCTTTCCATTTTCTGTTGAAAAACTTGAGGTCCTGAAAGGCAGTGACTTGCCCAAGGTCCTACAGGTTTGGGATCTGAAATGTGGTCTCTGGACTCCATATCCAGTGCTCTTTCCCAATACACCAAGCTGCCTCACACAACCCAGTCCCCTCTTCCAGACAAGCCTAGAGCACATGGGATGCTGAGCCAGGAATGAGACAATGAATGGGCTCTGAAGTTAGCAGACCCATGCTCGAATTTCAGCCATGTGATCTTGGGCAAGTCACTTAATCTCTCTGAACCCTGTAGCTCTTGGTAAAAAGTGAAGAACAGGTGTTCCTATCTCAGAGGGTTGCAGCAAGGATTAATTAACCCACAATAACATGTTAAGTGCCTAGAATACAGGAGGCACTTAATAAATGGTAACAGTTATTTATTTTAGGTGATAGGATCCTTAGACCTGAAAAATAGTCTTTGCCCAGCAAACCCAAGTAAAAAGAAGAGGCAGATGCCAGTAGTAGTCCCATAGACTCTTGCTTCCTCTGGTGCAGACCCAGGCCCTTTCAGAACTCAGAAGGTGAGGCAGATGCTCAGAGGAAACCAATGACCATGGCTGTGGTGAAATTGAGGCAGGAGGGCCCAGCCGATCAGAAAAAGGAGGGAGAGGGACTTCCCTGGTGGCGCAGTGGTTAAGAATCCGCCTGCCAATGCAGGGGACACAGGTTCGAGCCCTGGTCCGGGAAGATCCCACATGCCGTGGAGCAACTAAGCCCATGCGCCACAACTACTGAGCCTGCACTCTAGAGCCCACGAGCCACAACTACTGAGCCCGTGTGCCCCAACTACTGAAGCCCACACGCCTAAAGCCCGTGCTCTGCAACAAGAGAAGCCACCGCAATGAGAAGCCTGCGCACCACAATGAAGAGTAGCTCCCGCTCTCTGCAACTAGAGAAAGCCCGCACGCAGCAACGAAGACCCAGCACAGCCAAAAATAAATAAATAAATAAATAAATAAATAAATTTTTTTTTAAAAAAAGAAAAGGGAGGGAGAGAGTGACAGAGTGACAGCCAGGCTCCTGCCGGGGAGAGGGAGCAGTGAGTCAGGTCTGCAGAGCTAGGAGGAGCAGCTGTGTGGGTGGAGGGTGAGTCACAGCCCAGCTCTGCCCTGCCTATGAGGAGAGGGCCAGGAGAATACAGGTTGTTCAGGCCAGGAGTGACCCCCAGAGGGCCACTGTGAGAGGATGGAAGGTGGGAACCCAGCCTCAGCTTTGGGGCAGACCCCTGATGTATACTAAATAGAGATAGCACCTAAGGGAAACTCTGGGTAAGGAAGAAGGGTGGCAGAGGAGCAGACAGAGCCAGAACAGGTGGGTATCTTTCCAACCAAATATAGTCACTCCGGGGCTCCAGGGCTCAGTCCCTGCTCCACCCTTAAGAATCTCTGCAGGTGACTGGGGGCAAGGAAGCAGGCAATACTGGAGGCTCTGGACTCTGCTCTGTGCTTGTATTTACTTAGCCACAGCACCTCTGCTGGTTGAAGGATCCCATTTGGCCCTTCCTCCCTTGGAGTCTCTCTCAGGGACTCAAGGTGGTCAGGAAGTATCCAGGCTTGTGTAGGATTTGTAGACACCCAGCATATCAATACAGCTCTCTAGGGACCCAGTGCTCACCATTCACAGCCTCCCGAGGAGGTGCTGGCCTAACCTGAGGGGGGACCAAGTGCTCCTCGTTCCCCTGTTTCCCCAACCTGGAGACAGGTGGATGGAGGAGACTAACACTGCACACCTTGTATGTGCCCAGCATCTCCACATCTGTTACCTTATTTTATACATAATAGTCAGTTGATGTGGGAATTAGGGGTTGTGCACATTTTTTCATAGAAACTCTAAGGAAAGCATCTCAACCATTCCTTGTTCCTATCACCCAGCTTACCTCAGAGCAACGTACCAACCCCACACACCTTGCCTGTTTCAATTTGCCTCAGAGTATCCAGAAAGGCAGCAACGTGGCATGTGAGACTACGTTGGGCAAGAAAGACAACAGGATCTACATTCTAGGACCCCCCAGTGAGTTTGTCAGGCCAAGCGGCTTTTCCTTGAGGTCCTCCATGAAAACCCCCAAACCATAGGTGTGCCCAATCGGCATAAATGCCAGATCCACTTATTCTTCAACTGTCCACCGGGGTCCGAGGATGGGCATCCCTCACACCCACCTCTGAAAAGGTCCAGGTCTGTCTCTTCCAAGTCCAGGACTTCCCGGCCTCGGCCACCTCCCGGGGGCAGCAGCTGGTCCGTAGATTGAGTAGGGGAGTCCAGATTGCTGGTTCCAGCCGCCAGCCCTCTTCGAAGCCGCTCCAGGCTGTCGCCGGTCACCAACGCCGAAAGCACTGCGGGTGAGGGACGAGGCCGCTTCAGACCCGCCGCCCAGACCCCCGTCGCCACGTACCGCTGCCGGCGCCCGCCTGCCAGGGAGCACGGGCCCCACCAAGTGGCCCGCGCCGGGGGCGCTGCAGCGATCTTCCTTCGTGTCCCCTGCAGAGCGTCCCCATCCCCCCCGACCCCCGGCAGCCCTCTTACCTGCAGCCAAAAGGAGCTTCAGCACCACCGACGGCAGCAGCTTCATGGTCCCGGACTCGGCGGAGGCGGCGAGGCAGCAACCACTTTGGAGGCGGCGGCCACCGGGCGCTGGCACGGGAGCCGGGTGGGAGGAGCACAGGAGATCCTGCCGGGCACGTTCTGCTGCCGGCCTCTGCGTGCAAGCCTGGCTGGGATCTCAGCGGAGCTCGCGGCCGCCGGGCGTCTCTGTATTCACTCTGTCTGTCCGTCCGCCCGAGCCCTTGAGCCTCAGTAAGTATAGCCAGGTGCCTTCCGCGCGCAGCTCCCGCGGTAGACTGAGCGCTCCCGAGCTTGCGGCCGGGAATAAGGCTCCAGGAGGCGCCGAGACTCCGCCCCGCCCCCCGCCGCCCCGCCCCCCCTCCTCCCGCTCTGGGACTCCCGCCCGGCTCCAGGCGCCTGCCGCCCAGCCCCGGACCCCGTGGGCGCGGCTGGGAAAAGGGGCGGGAGAAGGGGGCGGTGCTCACATATTTTGGGACTAGGCCAGAGCAGCCGCGGCCTGACTGTGGGTAGGGCTGCTGACCGGCAGGTGGCGGGGACCAGCTCCTACCTTTCCCCAGATGCTTGTCACGCTGCAGCCTTGGGACTGCTGAGCTGCGCTTCGCCCTTGGACACCCCTCATTCCTTCCTCTCTTCCAGGCCTGGTCCCTCCGGTCATCCGTGCTCTAAACCAGAGACCTCCACCCATGTCATCTTCTGAGCTTCAGAAATCCTCTTGTTTGCCTACCGATAAATCAAGTAGTAAATAATAATTAATTCATTTATCATTTAAAATTAGACACATGAATGCCAGGAGGTCTTGTGAGCCCAAGGTTACCAGAGTTGCAGTTGCAGGCACCTGGTATCAACCCAGCAAAAGCAAAGGAAGTTAGTGGTATTCTTCCAGCCCCTGGAGTGGCTTCTCCCCATCTTTGTCCCAGAGGACATTGTCTCCATTAGGATTTTTGAACTATTGAGTATAATTCCCAGGCTTCTGGGATTGGAGAGACACAGGCTGTGAAACAAGCCTCCTACTTTTCCTTGCCTTTGAACACCACCTTCTTCTCCAACATAAAAGCTGAGCCCCCTCCCACAGGACCCAGCTGGCTAACCTAGGTTGCCACGTTCAACAGGTGCCAGGAGATTGATGTGTTTTTCTTCCAACTTACGAATTTTTACAGGGGTCTTCTGGAGTCAATGTCCTGACCCAAAGAAATTACTCTCTCGGTAGGCATTTCAGCTCCCAGGGACACGCTGGGACGGGAGTTGTAAGACACAGGGCTGAGTTGGCATTTCAGAGCCCTCAAATTGTGCCAGGTAGAGCTGCTTGCCTGATTCAGCCCATGTGTAGGGATAAAAACAGGCCTGCTATTTATACATAGTCTATCCCACTCTCCCTCCCCATCCCCACTTCTGCAGGGGTAAATGGGGCTCTTCCCTCTTAATTTGTCCCTAGCAACTCTCCCCAGGTTTAGGTTTCCATAATGCCCTGGAATCACTACAGATCTAAGCTTGAATCCTAACTTTGCTTCTTACTGTGTGACCTTGGACGAGATATTTAATCTCACTGAGTCTCAGTTTCCACATCTCTCAAATGGGAATAACAATAATAATAATGCCTACTTTGTAGAGAGCTTCATGAAGATTGAACGAGGGAACACATATAGAGCAATTAGTATAGGGCCAGACATATTGTCATAAATGTGACCTATTATTATCATTATTATTACTAATCATTCTATACTGACTGTTCCACTTCCTTAGCAACCTCTTTTCTCTCCCTTCCCCACAGGTCTGAGGCTCCATGTGTGGTTGGGCTGGTTTTTAGGAGGAAGCTCACCTGTCACCTATTTGGCCAAGTGCCATTGTGGGATTGTTCCTTTTGGTGGTCAGTATTGGGCCTAGGACCTCAGTAGATTGTCACCACCCAGGACACACCTTTATTCTCCCTCAGCAGCTGCCTGACAGCCTGCTTCCCCAAAACGAAGCCACCTTGGGGTCAGGGCTCTCCTCAGGGGAGGGTGGAGGGAAACACTTCCTGACACACAGCCAAGTCACCCCCTTCCCCTCACCACTGCCAGTTTCACACCCTGCTCTCCTGTCCCAGCCTGCCTCTCCCTTCACACACTGTGACCTTCTGCCTTCTCACCCTCACATCAGTCTTAGCCCATTCATGGGGCAACTCCAAGCTTTCATCACACCTGTGAGCCTCACCCCAGCTCAGTTTGTATGTCAGCCAGGTTTTATGGGAAGGACCTGCAAAAAGAATACAAAGGGCCTGGAATGGTTTGGGGACAGTCACTTCTCTCAGAACTTTGGGTGTCCTCTAATCAGAAAAAGGAATCACGATTCATTCTGGGACAAAGTCATTAACTCATTTATTCCACAAATAATCACGGAACACTTATCAGGCACTAGGGACACAGCAATAAACAAGACAGCCAAGGATATGCTTTCATGGAGCTTGCACTCTACCGTAGGGGGAGACAGGCAACACATGAAGTAAATTAAAAAGTAAACTAGATCCTATGATGACAATCGCTAAGATGAAAGTTAAAATTCAATGATATACTATAGGATGTTGTGTCCCAGTGCTTGGGACAACACGTTAGACTTGGTGACTGATTAGCGAAGGTCTCTCTGAGCCTGTGACCTGTAAGCTGATGCTTGAATAAGCAGAAGGAACCAGACTTGTGATGATCCATTGCCAAAGTATTCTAAGCCGTGCAAATAGGGCAAAAATTTTGAGATGGGAACAAGTTTGGAGCACTCAGGGAACAGCAAGGAGGCCAGAAAGGAGGGAGGGTTATGAGATAACATTGAAGCAAAGGCTAGTGACAGATAACAGAGAATGTTACAGGCCCAAGGTAGATGCTGGATTTTATTCCCTATCACTGTGAGCATCAAAGGAGGGACGTCAGTAAGAAAGCATCGTTATGCAGGATTCTTTCACCTCTTCCCCTTTCTCTACCCAGGCCTCTCTAACCCACCTGCTCTCTGGCAGTCAAGTGCCAGGGACACACTCCTGAGGAAGCAGACAGGCCACTCTTCTTTCCCTGACTATCTGTGGACCGTGGGCAACTGCGGCTTAGAAACCTACTGGCCCTGGGCCACTAGTGAGTCACAAGGGGGCAAATCCACAGCAGAAACCTTGGCATCCTGCTTCCCAGCTCTGTGCTGGGTTCCCAGGCCTCTGGAAAGACAGGCTCCTTGGGACACTGTCACTGACTCAGCTAGGCCATACAGACCTTCATTTAGGGAGAGCACTTGCAAGCCAGTGGGAAGGAGATGCTGGCGGTGACAAGAAATGGGAGAAGGGGACTTGGAGAGGGGACGCACCTGAGTCCCTTCCCCACTGTGGCTGAGATGTCTATGCTAATAGATTGGTTCTTCCACACCTGGCTATGCATCAGAATTACCTGGGAACTTATTTAAGATAAAGAGGTCCTCCTAATTCAAAACTTCCTGGGGTGGGTCCCAGGCATTTACACTTTTGGCAGGCAATTCTGACATCAGCCAGTTTATGAAGCACTGGTCTGCATAATTAGGATAACGAGTTAAGCATCTGAACGAAATCTGAACCTCTGAGGCAGAGGCAGAAGAACTATAATAATGACACTTCCCATGTGCTCATGATCTTGCGTGATCCTCACAACTGCCCTAAGACTAGATACTCCTCCCTATTTTAAAAGGGTGAGGCTAAAAACAGGTAACAGCCCAAGGCCACCCAGTTAGTAAGAATCTCAGCCTCAATTACAATTCCTCTGCCTGTGCTCTTAAGCTCAACACTGTTCTGAACAAATGCATGAGACGATGGCCGCCCTCTCTCTGCCTCTACCGACAATAACATCCTCAGCTTTACTGAGGCTCAGTGCTCCATCTGTCTTGGGGGGAGGTGCTAAGAATCTCTGCCTCACAGACTGGAGGGGGGCCTAGGTAAGGGCAACAGGGCAGCTAGTGTAATGGGTGCACTCCCGGGAGCCAGACTGCCACGGGTTCAAATTTAGGTTCTGCTATTTTTCTATCTTTCTAACTTTGGACATGTTAGTCAATTTCTCTGATCTACAGTTTGCTTATCTGTAAAATGGGGATAATAATAGCAGAATATGATGCCTGGTCCATAGTAGGTGCTTACTTGGTGACAGCTGCAGTTAGGACCAAATGCTTCCTTCTGTCTTCCTTTCCCCCTTCCTTCCTTTCTTCCTTCATTTCTCCCTCCCATTCTTTGTTCCTTCCTTCCTTTCTTCCTCCCTCCTTTCCTTCCAGTGGGAATTTAGTAAGGTGCTGCTTTCACCTGGGCCAGTCATCCTCAGTTGAAGTGGTCCCTCTCTGCTGCGAGATGGCCATTCTTACCAATGAGTTGGTGGATCTGCAAGGCCACTCAAAGTTTTAGAAACCTCTACCCAAAAAGCAGCCCTCATCGCTCAGAGAGAAGCATGTGACCCCTGGGGGATGGGATTCAGCTGCCTTCTCCTTCCATTCTGACCAGAAAAGTGAGTCCCAAGTAGACCCAGAACTCGGCTGGCTGGGGATAACGGAGGGGCTCCTCCACTGAGGGTACTTCTATCACCAGGTGGCCATGAGCCCAGTTACCCAAACTTGGAAGCTCACGGTAAGGGGTCATTTCTCCTACCCCAGGCTGATTTCTCTCATCCGTGTCTCTATCCCCATGAGAGCCAGTTGATCAGGCAATTTGGGGGGGGTGCAGCGGGATTTGAACTCAGGCCTGATCTTTGGAGTCCCCATGCACCTCCTATGCTGACTGGGGCCCCTGGAGGAAGTGCCAGATAATACTTCTTGTGCACCTGGGTGTAGAGAGGCTCTTATGTCTCATGGCCTGGGGTCAAGATCCATTTGAATAGGATGATAGATAGGAATGGATGAGGTGGGGGGGTGTGTTAGGGGACATCTGAAATCCCTATCATCCCCAGAAGATGTTGAGGAAAGGATACTTATGATGTGCTTGGCGAACGCCTGGATTCCAAGCCATCCTCCTCCATTTCTGTGGCTTCAAGAGATTTAAATCTCCAGCCCCAGCCCCTTCCGTCATCCCCTAGCACAGATGGCGCACTGGAGGGACAGGCAAGTGATTCTCATCCATCACACAACCCGCCTCCTTCCTCAAGCCTCAGGTTTCTCCATAGAAAATGAAGGTTTGAAACAATTGTTCTGTATTCAGGCACTGGCCAGTGATGTCCAGAGTGAATTGTTGGCAGTCGTGCTGCTGTGAACAGTCTTGCTGAGACAATTCTATGATGATCAACAATGCCTGATCTACAGGGTGTGATAACTTTCTCTCTGTGCCTCGGCGTCTTCATCTTCAGATGGGGGGAGAATAACAA